AGCTTTCCTTATATGGCCTAATTGTATGGTAAAAAAAAATGAGAAATACACAAAGGAATGACCAGTACGGGTTTGGAGCTCCAAAGAAAGATATGGATGGAAAAAAAAAAAAAAAAAAAAAAAGAGTGGGGATCATTGGCAGAGAAACAGTTACTGCTGCATTAACATTGAGATCCAACTGTACTCCTGTCCTTGCCAGTTGAGAAATGGAATTTTTTTGAGTTCCTCCAAGACTAGAGGATGAGGATTTAGAATACTTGAGTTTTAGACGGAATGGCTATGAAATAATGGACTAGAATTTTCCTTGATGATTCCTCTTCCCCAAGGTGACAGGTAGACAGGAGAGAAAAATGCCCTTATTAATGACAGTTATTCTTGAATTGCATTACAATTACCTGCAAAGTGTATTAAAACGCTTAGTCCCAGGCTCCTCCTCACTTTTTTTTCCACCTACTTCATGATCCTTCAAATATTAGGTGGTAAAAAATGCTTGAAAATGATGAAAATTCCATGAGCTCCTACTGGAAAACTAAATTCATCCTTAAATTGGAATAGGTACACAAATACTCTAAATCTGCTGTGTTTTTCTAGTCCTGTATAGAAATGCAGTCAGAAACGTCCTCTATTTATAGTCCTCCCTATTTATTTCTGAGGCTCCACTGGAAGGTTGATCTGTATCAATCTGCTGGGAGAATAATTAGGGCAGGGATTCTGAGTCACTTGGACATGACAGAGAGAGCTTTGAAATAGTTCCTATCTTTGTTGCAATATGTTGTTTTGCCATATGGAGAGCAAGTTCCCCGCCAGAACAGTTAATTAGTGCCCAACCAAACAGACAAACAGCTTTCCAGTGTGTACCCCCTCTCGTATTTTGTGCATGATTCATACCTAGGGATCTTGTGGACTGAGGCCTGTGTGACTGACAGATGTCAGCTGTCAGTGCGGAACCCATAATGAGTCATCAGATTAAACTTAAACCGTCTTGGAAGCATATGAAATGGCCAATGAAGCTAATGGTGTGAAGACATGTCAAACCAAGTCGGAAACTGCTGAAACTGCTTTTCGGACTTGGTTTATAGCAGGATGTTACGCACAGGGTGAAGCATCAGAGTGGAACTGGTCATGGGCTCCGCGTGAAGGTCTACCTCTCATCCTACCATCTACCCTGTCATTGCTCCAAGACTTTGACTTGATTGCCAGGTGTTAACACGTGACATCAAACTGAACTCTATCAGTTGGAGAAAACTAAAAATACTGATATCATATATATTCGGTGGAGTGTGGAGAAGTTTAGGTGGGAACACCAAATACATTCCAAGGGTTACATTTGTGTACTTGTGGAGGACAGCAGAAGAAATTTAATACAATTACAGGTAACAGGCTCAAGGTCACAAAGATAGTTACACTGCAAATGTGCACGGAACTTAGGGCTTCTGCTTACGTTCAATATAACTTACATATAAAAAAAACAAATGTTTCTTGGTGACATGAATTCCAAATATCTTCCTATTTTTTGGAGAGTACTC